AAAAAAAAAAAAAGAAAAAAGTTTGATTTGGTTTCAAGGGAAGGTTTCATTTCTCATACAGCACTTTTTTCCTTTCCTGACCCTTTTTTTTCTAACTGTGCTGGTAGTGTTTGGGTTGGTTTTTTTTCATTTTGCTTGACAAAAATGCTTGGTTTGCTGGGAATAGGTTGTATTTGCCAAATTTCATCTAACTATCCTTGAAGTTAACTGCTCAGATCACCCTGACTTCAGCTTATATTTAGAATCCTTTTTAGAAGAATAATATTTCTGAGGTAAAAATAAGCTAGACAATTCTGTCAAATTGTTAAATATTGACCAACACTTAGGAGAGATCTGTTCCTATTTTCTTAAGTACTTTTATGTAAGAAAAGTGTCCTAATTTGCACGGCAGAAAACATTAAGTGTTGTGGGTGCATGTCTAATACTAGAAAATCAGCATAGAATAAATCTGTTGTGAGAACGTTTCTCTCAAACACAGAGAAATCTAAAATCTAAACGATGAGTTATTTCTTGTTAGGTGAAGCTTATCCACATCCAGGTAAAAAAGTTGTGGATTGTTCATTTTCAAGCCTCGTGACATAGCTCACACTTGGAATGAAACTGCTTCCTTGTATGTCTTGCTTCCCAACAGCTGGCATTGTCAGAAAGCTGTGAGGAGGCCAGATGTCTAGGAATTACGAGTCCAGAGCCTCTGTTTCACAGCTGCTTCACTCTTTCTGCAAATGGTCAAGAGATTTCCCTGTGGAATAGTGGTACCTTTAAACATATTGCAAGGATGCTACACATGTAGTCTCTGGGCAGGTGTAAGAAAAATACTTCTGTTCTTGTTACGTGTAAACAACTGGGCTACGATCAGTAAAGAGGCATCATTAGCAGTAGCTCCTAAACTGATTAAAGATCTTTGCACTGTGGAGTTGCTTGCTGGTTTGTTTTCCTTTTCTGATTATTTCCTGTTGGGAAAGGAAACTGAGACACAGTGTGGTTCTTTAAGGTCAGAAAAGTAATCTGGTTTTAAAATAAGAAAATTATCTAGTTTTGTAGTGTCATATGTTTTGCTCTGTTTTTAAGATCTGTATTACTACCTATGTCATTGTGGAGTTTTCAAATTTCTGTGGTAGTGGAAGAAAGGAAAACACAGTTGGCAAGAGTCAACCGTTTTAAGGACAGGTAATGGTTGGGATAATTTGGAAATTGGGACAGTTTTTAACTTGACGGTCCTTTCATGAATTTCTTAATGTATATTTCAAAAGATCAGTCAATTATTTTTTATCTGTTTTAAAATCTGTATCTTCTTTTCAAATTCAGAGTTGAAATCTACAGTCCCAGAAACGGAGAAGCAATACGCAGGCAGTGTTCAGCAAGAACAGGTAAGATTCTAACAGAAATGTTCTATCATTTTTTTTAAAAAGGGCAAAAAGCAGTACTTCTGATATTTTTGAAATAGTTCTGTGTACTAAACGTTCTGTATGAAAAAGTTCCAAAGTGAGGGTATTTTATAAGCTCTATAGTGTGCTATGTATAGTACTAGGTATAAGGATTGAGGGTTCCTGCCTAAGGTGATTCTTACAAAATATTATTATCCACTCAAAAGTAATGGCTCTAGTAAGGAAACTCAAATGGCTTTAGTAAGGAATAATTTTTAAAGATCTTATAATAATAGCTAATCTACAAAAGTTTATGTAAGTAATAGTGGCAGGGATTTTTTTCTGACTCTCTTCAAGCTCATAGCACAGGTACTATATGCACAGGTTTAAAGGGTCATGCTAGACTTAAAAAGGAGCTGATGTAATACTGGGACAATGGAGAGAATCTGGGTTCAGCTTATGCCACAGAAACACAGACTATCTTGGTTTTTTAGCATGTCACCATACATGCTGTATTTGTCATTAAAGGTGGTGCAGTTTAATGGGGCTGAGGAATTTCAGATTCTGTTTCCTCAACAGACTTATCTTACTTGTAATTAACACTATTCAGTTGTTCTGGAAGCCTTTAGAAGGAAGGCTGAATTCTGAAATCTTGGTTTGAAACAAGCAGTGACCAAAAACTCTTGGAACCTCTTTTCTTCCTCCTCTGTTTCCCAGCTTGTTTCCCTCATTTCCACCTTTGGGTTTGTTTTGAGGTTTTTTACGTTTTTTGTTTCTTTTGGTTTGCTGAGTGCTTTGTTGTGGGTTTTAAGCTTTTTTTTTTGGTTTTGATATTTGCAGGGCTTTTTGTGTTAGTGACAAGACAATTCAAGCATCGCTGTATCAAGCAGCGTTTGTGAAAATGGTCAGTGATTTGATTTTCAGGGAAAAATAAGGAATGTGTAGTTAAATACATACTACTGGTCATTAGACTTGCAAATTTAATTTGGGCTTGATCATGTATTTTGTGAGCCATGGCTGGGGGAGAGTATGTGTATTAATTTTATGGCTTGTCTTGCCAAACAACTTCTAGCTGGTTACCTAAACTTCATAATATGGAACATTTTAATACTGGAGCTCATTAATTAAAATAATATTAAAAAATAATTTTTCACTGCAGTATTATAAGTTTAACCTAAAATATATTTTTCTCATGCTATTCTTATATTCCAGTCATCCAGGTTTCACTAGCAATGGTTTCTAGTATATGTTGTGGAAAAGCACATTTTTCCTATATTTACAGAAAGTTATTGCATGTAAGGAGCATATTTAATCAGTCTCTAGTATTATAATTCATTGCAAGAAATGACCTCTATAAATGGTTTTCTTATTGCAAATGTAATTAATTTAAGTAGGTTTATGTATACGTAGTTATTTTACTTATTAAAAAAGTATTATGGGAATTACTATGAGAATGAAGTTTAATCAGGAGCTCTGGAGCACTGCCTGATTGCTTGAATGGCAATTACTAATAGTTGGGAGTTTTTCTTTATTTTTAGGACTAGCCTGATATGTTGTCCAATTGCTGAATTCCATTTGCTAGTGTTTAGGAGATCCCCGTCCCTCTCACTCCGTGGCCATCTCTTATGACAGTAACATGAACTTCCATTCTATACTACTATTCATCAATGACCTGCAGAGCTAACGGGATCACCTCACTTGCAGAAAGTCATCTCAAGTTTTTGCTGTATTATGTCATCATCATTATTCTGGTTTTATTTTTTTACACTTCTACAGAGTGGAGTTGTTTTGTTTTTCTTTTGAGGAACAGTATGTGGATAAAATGTTGTCATATGTTTAAATTAAGTCCCCAGCAGTCCAGCATATTCTTATCCCTCAGTGTTGAACTATATCAGTCTATAAAAACATTTTGAAAGTAGAACAGCCATCATGGTTGTAGGTAAATCCTTTACTGCAGTCAGATCATTCTTGATCTTATTTATATATATTTTTTTTTTAAGTGATGAACATGCTTCTGTTAGAGATATGCCCTCTTTTGTTGTCTAGTTTTAATTTCTGTAAAAAGGAAACATTGGTTGAATTTAGTCTAGTAGTTTATTTTTCTTTTTCTTTTAATACATAAATAAAAGAGAGCTCTTGTTTAAAATTTGAATTCATCAGCTGAAACTTATCACAGACTTCTTCCCTCTGCTTTCTCTGTGAAAAGACATTCCCACATACTACAAATATAATTGAAGATTATTGGCCAGAACACAGTTGTAACATGATGTGCTGATGAATTATCTCAGTTATGATAAACGGTTAACTAAAATAATCAGAATCATTTTAAATTAAAGGCACAAGTAGTACAGCCTGGATTCTATATTTTCTTCTCACTTGAAGGGGCTTCTTTATATATATCCTCTCCATTTCCTTATCTTTATAATACTAGATACGTGTGAGGTATTTTACATGCATGTTTTACAGAATAATTTGCAAAAACAATTTCTGAAAGTTTTTTAAGGGTTTTAATGAGTCCAAAATATCAATTTTTTTCAAAATTACAGCTAAAAAAAATGAGGATATGGGGATGTGCTTGCTTTTTAGTACAGGAATTGTTAAGCAGTGGAAAAATAAGGAAAAATTGGCAGCCATTTCAAGTCCTGGTTTTGAAATGCCAAATAGCAAGGATGTCTGCTTAGTCTTCCCAGTACGAACAGAGAAAGTTTTGTTAGGCTTAACTCCTTTAGTGAAAGAAGAAGAGAAAAATGGGGTGCCCTAATTTAGGAACTCCAGCTTCAAACCTGATCTTTAAATTTGACAGCGGTACTTTTTGCAAGAGCCAATTTCTGTTCTGTTTGTACCCCTGATCTTTTGCACTATCCTTGCAATTTTCCTTACATTTAATTCGCTTTTCAGAGCTGCTTGATTTTGCTTGCACAGTAGGTAAGGATAGATCCTTAGAAAAAAGATGAAAGGGAAAAAAAGAATCCTTTAATTGTAAAATGAGTACATGTAAACTAGGCTTGGTTAGTAGTGAGACATCACAGACCAGAAAGCTAAAATTGTTTGAAAGGCACTTAAAAGTGCCTTTAATTATTTTATACACCATATCATAAAATTATTTTAAATTTCTATTTTTGAACATTTGTGATGAGAGTCTATTCTTTGGACCACACAATTTTAAAAACAAAGTTCTTGTTACATTTATTTAATTGTCAGCATCTAGATATAATGAATACTTCATGCCTGGTCCCTGTAATCCCACCTCAGGAGAGGAGGTTTTGACAGACTGTTGCAGTCTCTAGCAGTTTGGTTATAAGATAGTTTACAATGACTATTTATGCTCTATTTACATCAGAAAAGCTGGTCATCAAAAAATTCTTATGCTCACAACGTCTTAGTTTGGTTTGGTTCACCACATTTTACCCAACAAATAAATCCTCAACCAAAATTATATGCCTTTTTTGCAATTCCAAGTACTTCCACTGGTACTAAAATCAGACAAAATTTTGGCAGTTCTGAGGTGCTGAAAATGGGTTTCTACTGCATAATCTATTGGTGCATTTTCCAGCAATATCATAGGGGAACAGTGCTAATCTTAAAAAACTGTATTGCAAGCCAGGTTTTGCCACCTTGAAGATACTTTCTGCTTTATAAAACCAGATCCATGGAGTGTATATTTAGAATATTCCTAACCACTCCACTTTACTGGCAGCTCCTCTCTCACCAGGGACCTTTCTTCTTAAACTAGTTTTTGACTATGACTTACTATAATTTCTTAGGGCAGTAGCTTAGTGATATTAGAAATGTTCAAATTTTGACACCTAGTAATACAAGAAAAAAGGTTCTGAAATCCTTTAAGATAAATACATAATCGGTCTGTTTAGAAACTATAGAACATTGGTGGGACTGGAATTTACTTTTCATTATTATAAAATGTCACTGCTAGAATTTGTCTCAGAAACATGCATGCTGCCCAAAGCTCTCTCTTAAAAGAAATTTCAGAGATTATTCTTTATAGATAAGATAAAGACGGTAGATGAAAGATTAGTCTGAAATGGTGAAATACAAAAAATAGTTTCTAAAAAGGGGAGATGTTATAAACCTGCATTAGACTGTTGTGACACTTGTAGTTTGGTATAAAACTTGTTTTATTTTTGTTTTACATGGTTTTAATCACCACATAGACCAACTGTAGGCAAGAATAGTGAACCACAGGCTTCCACAGGAACCTGAGGAAAACTGGGGACTCTTCCCCTCTTGGCTCACAAACAGTTCTGTGACAGTGGCACTTTTAACACTGCCTGATTTTGCATGTTCTTTCTTGAGATAATTATTAAGGAAAAAAAACCTGTGAAGAAGTGGCGCTCCCCTTCAATCCTTTTGTTATTTGACGGGTTGCTTTTTGTAAGAGGGAGGAGAAGGCTTGAGGAAGCAGTGAACAGTTACTATAAAACAATTCCTTTCCTACAAAGATATGACAACCAGAGTCCTAGATTTCAGCAAGGAAAAATAAGTTATGTAGTTGGGTAAAAAAAAAAAAAGCATACCAAAAAAACTGCATGACATATTCAAAAGGATCTACTATATGCAGTTGTCTCATTGAGGAAATAAATGATTAAAAGAGAAGCAAATGTTTTTGGATGCTTCCATATGAATCAAATGATAGTGAATAGAATTGTATATCTTCTTTTAAGAACTGTACCGATGTAAACTTTCTGCAAAACCATGTCAGCATACCCAAATTTTAGAAAACAAAAATTTAAAAAAATTCAGAGGTAAGTATCTGGGTATTTTTATCTTGCAAAAATAAGCCTAGATTTTTAATATGTGATATGGAGGAACTTACATTCTAATTGTAGGTCCAGTGTTAGAATTCCAATATGTTAGCTTTAAGCAGATGAATTTCAGGAAGCATATGCAGATAGATAGTGTTTTCTTGTTAGTATTCAGAGTATATAATGTTTTATCAGAAACGTACAGAAAAGAAACCAAGTTTGTAGGAAATGAGGAGCTACAAA